GGACGCCAAAAGCCGGGACCGCTATATAAATGTCTAGGATGAAAATTAATGCCCAAGGATGGGCAGTAGGCTTATAATTAAATTAAAGTAAATAATAATCAATAAATATAGATATACAAATTATACCTATCTCACTCTCCATTTCTAACAGAAGTAGTAGTAGCTGCTGTCTGCCACGACTTGAAAAGAGCTATTGTAGTATCCTAGACAAGCAGAAGCACAAGAAGAATTCAAGTTAACCTCCTTGATCCAACCATTCCAAGGCCATGGAATTAGAATTCATATTAATTACAGTATAATTATATGAAACAGGTTTTGATATAGAAGTAGGTTGAGATGTAACAATTTGCTTTTACATACAAGAATTTGACTTATCTATCTCCAACCAAATGTTATCAAGTATACAGATTATGCCCTTATTTCCACTATGATACAGAGAAAGGCACCTGGAGCAGTGTGCAGGTTAAAGGTCAGCTGCCGTGCCCTCGCTCCGCAGCTACCATATCAGCTGTTGGGAACAAGCTGTACCTGTTTGGGGGACTGAGCCATGACGTCGGCTGGTTAGATGACTTGTTTGTTCTCGACACGGGTGAGAGTGTTTTCTTCCTATCTTACCTGATCAAGGATTCACATATAGACACCTTCACAGACCAATACTTTTTTTTCTCCATCTCTGGATCTGGAAGTCAAGAGTTTGAACCTTAGATATTTTTGCTCACTCTAGGGGCATAGTGTCTCTGCATAAGGTCTTCCAAGACTGTCTCTGGCTGTCACCCCTGAGGTACTGGAATTATAGTCCTTCAACTGTCTTGAACTTGAGGAGGTTCACACCACAAGAAAACATAATTCCTGTTCTCCTATTTGTACTAAGTTTGTCAACTACATTAGTACATATATTTTCCATAAATCACAGATACTTGGACATGGAAGGAGCTGACTGACACACAGGGTCCTGCCCCAAGCCCCAGAGACAAGGTAGCTTCAGCCACCGTTGGGAACAAGGTGTATTTCTTTGGTGGTTTTGGCCCCAAGGATGGCTGGGACACGGAGGAGTCCACCATGAGTGAAGATGAGGAGGAGGAGGACGTGGGTCAGGGGGCAAAGTTCACTTGGTATGATGACCTCTACATCTTTGACACAGGTGGGTGAGACTGGGCTAGACCTACTGTACATCTGATACAGTTGAAAAAATGACCTCACTTTCACCACTTGAACTTTTGGCACTCACATTGGTTCGGTATGCCATGCATGCAATAAAATTGTACAGAATGATGCTGACTGGTAAAGGTATTAAAAAATTACATCTAATTTTTTTCAGAGACGAACACATGGGAGAACCCTGAACCCATCAAGCTGGGAGCACCAACACCAAGAGCAGCACATGCACTGTGTGCTGTTGAGAAAAAGTTGGTGGTCTTTGGAGGAAGAGACAGGGAGGCAAGGAAGAATGATCTGTATGTTCTTGATACAGGTGAGCAGAAAATATTTGAGGCCTTAAAAAACATTCAAACTGAAGGTCATCATTTACAGTTAAAATTTTTCTGTGAACTTTTAAGAAATCTGTTTATTTGTTTCCTGTAGAATTTGTATTGATTCAAACCTTTCTCATCATATTGAACATTATTAACTTCACCATACATAGACACATTTTATACATTTTTCATGACTTATTTTCCAGAAACGATGAAGTGGCAACAATTGAAGACGACCGGTCAGCAGCCAGAGCCACGGTCCTTCCACACGGCTACAGCAGTCGGCCACAGGGTGGTCATCACAGGAGGGAGGGGTCTGCAAGACCAGCACTTCGCAGACTTCAACATCTTCGACACAAGTACGTAAAGTTTTATGAGTTTCATCAGGTTCGTATATAAATCGTAATACAGTTCATTTTTCAGAGCCAAAAGGATTAACCTGGCAAAATTTCAGTAGCACTAAGATCTTCCTCAGAAAATCTACTGTCATGAACTATCAGAAGGGAGAGTAACAAGCTGTGATCAGCCACAGCTTTTTTCCCCACCATTACTTAACCTTGAAAAAGTAGAAAAGTACACTCTTCAGCCTTAGCTGCTTTTCAAGAGTTCAAGGGGGGATAGTCGGGGGTCTTCTTTACACTGCTTCATTGTTACAGTTTAAGCAGTGGTTCATGATAATACATGGACATACAAGTTCAGATATTATAGAGTTATTATTAAGATTAAGTGGTTTGTTGTAATATGTTTTTAAAAGCTTGATGTCAGGATCCAAGTTCTTTGCCATTTCGATCCAGAAATGACTCATGTTTTCTCTTTTTGTTCAGAAACCAGAGAATGGCTGCAGCCGGCAGTTTGTGGAGCCAAACCCGCCCCGCGCGGCATGCACACAGCCACGGTGATGGCCGACCAGTTGGTTCTGTACGGAGGGTCGTCAGACGTGGATCCCGAGACCATGCAGTGTCAGAAACGTTACGCAGACCTCTTCTGTGCCAGGACAGGTTCGTGATTGATGTCTGCTTCTATTTGTAATCTGATACTGGAATATGAGAATAAAAGTGAAGACTGAAATACAGAACTCCAAATCCCCCTTGTGCAGACACCCTTCAAAATGATAGGTCTTACCTGCACCACTATCATTTATTCCATCAAAAAATTGTATTGAAATTTTCAAGGTTGATCTAAGTAGAATAAGGCAACTCCAATAAACTTGTCACTTGAAGATTGATGACCCTATAGATCATCTTCCTACAACCTACATGGGTAATATTAGAAATTATACTTGCCTCAAATCACTTTGAAGCAAAACAGATGATTTTTTTTTCTGTTCTTTTTTTACTTATTAACTTATTAAATTACATGTTTGCTTTTTCTTTAATTAAAACTGGCACCTATGGTGTACTAGTATTTGTTTTCCTTTTCAGAAGACAATACTAGTACCTCATTGGAATAATGGTAATAGATGTTTAAAAAGTGGGACCCAAAAAAAAGAGACAAACTTGGACTTCCAGTTTTTTTTATGTACCTCAGGGTACTAGTAGTTTTTATCACATACCAAGTTGTCATGTTACTGAAAAATACTTCTTTGATTGCATCAGACTTGATTTTAAAGCTCCATGTAAGCTTGCATCCACTAATTGTCCTCTGTAATGTGTGTCACCTTTCCCAAGGGGATTGCCTTGTTAGTGCAACATCCTGTGCATGAATGTTTGATGAAGAAGTAAAACAATAACACCTCATTAGCCATGCACAGCTGTGACTGCTGATAAGCCTGGATGATGTAACAGTGCATTCATCAACTTGCACACAAAGATGTCACAGTTGTCAAAGCTTTGCCACACCTGGGACAAGATAAGAATTATGTAGTGCACAGGATATTCAAAGATTCAGGTCGACAAGACTTTCATACATTCAGAGGTTATATTACAGGTAACCTCCATGATAGAATATACCAATGTACACATTTTTTATTTAATTTTATTAGACATTAAACTTATATATAGGTGTAGGCTCTCTATTTTTAGCTAATTTGTGAAAAGATTTGCCTTCAGACTCTTCATGGGAAAGCTGGTGGTATTATGATAAACCCGTTTGTGGTATGTTTGATGACATTGTTCAAACATGGAAAAGTACAGGCAATCTAAAATGACGCAGATTGAACTAATTTTGGACCCAGGTTGCAACTTGTGGAAAAATACCAGCATCATCACACCCTCTCCTCAAATGGACTGTGCCTATATGTAGATTTGAGCTGTACCAAAGATTTGTACCAGTACCAAGGTCATACAAACATTCATGCTCCAAATTGCTGCTGTTGTAATTGTTGAAGAAAACCTTTTTTAAGACACATTTTCTGTGAAATCGTCAAAGTTAAAAAGGATTCGTCATTCACATCTTGCAAGAATTTCGTATCCCAAAGCACCCATCCCCCCCATAGTTACCCAGTTGGTACAGCCCACCAGAGGTTATGGGTCCTGTCACTGCCAGCTCTGCATATGCAAATCCAGCCTGACACAGAGCAGTGCCAAACCTCCAGCTCCTGCACCCAAATCTCTGGTCGATTTGCCCTGATTCAACTCCATTCAACATGGTTTTACCAACAACAGTGGAGAAGTTGCCAGTGAAAGGTAGACTGATTTCTTTGCTTGTGTTCAGCCTCCTCTTTTATGAGACAAAGAGATCTGTGGTTAGGGGAGATGGGCAGCTTTGTTTGTGTGTGTGTCACAGTGCACTGCACAGAAATTATGGAGTAAACAAGGAGATCAGGCAGGCAGCATATGATTTTCTGGTAATCAATTTGGTCGAAGGACACCATGGAAATTATTTCTGAAAGGGAGGAACATTCTGATGATAAATCTTGGTCTCTATTTATATTTTGTCTGGAGATTTGACCTCATGATGTGTGGGACAGTTTCAGGCTTGGTGCCAGGACTGCTGATAGATGGCTCAGATTCAGATTCAGAATAGGAGTACTGTAATGATCTAATTGATACCAGGCATGGCCCCACCTCTGTATGCTGACATCTGGTGTCATCTTTTATAGATACATGTATTATAAATGTATGTGTGGTTCTATAGGTCCATAGCTGGATGTATGTTGAGTATTCACTTTCTGAATGGAAAAGCAAATAGACTCAGGTTATGTTGACACTGGTTTACAAATCTAGGCTTATACCTGTACATGTGTATTTCAAATAGTTATTATTTTACATGTCTAATGTAACATAAGCATTCTTTGTCGATGACTCCATCTCCAAATGGGTGTATATTACAGCACGGATTTGCAAATGCTAACTATTGAAAATGCCAATTACAAAATTAATGAAGTTGTTTATTGCAAATTCCTGCCCGAGGGCTAATTGCATACATTGACAAGAAAATGTGGTGATACATGTATAAGACTATTTGCTGACAGGAACTTCTACGTGTACGATATACTTATCGAACCTACTATCTCTACTTAAATCTAATAACGTTGGTATACATACAGGATAAAAAAAGTAAATATGCAATATGTGAACAGGTAATAGGAACAATGTAACTGCTATTCTAATCTATTCTATCTTATTCAACTATTCTTGTCATGCTATTAGGGGGTTTGACTTCTTCTCAGGAGGCAGTGGGAGATGAATTGTCCGACTCTTTGAAAAATAAATGGGTTGGTGGACTTTAGCAATAATATAGTCTTTTGTTGTTGGTTGAGATATGAAAAACTTGGGGAAATATTGGCGACATCTTTGAATAACTTTTTTCTTTCAAAATCGTAATGAGGACACTGTTTATAAATGACTTAGTTAAGGAACTAGACAACCCAGAATGTACTCCACCCTCTCTTCACAATTTACTCATATCTAGCTTACTTTATGCAGACGACGTAGTTATTTTCTCTGAGACCGAAAAAGGACTGCAATGTGCACTAAACAAACTTAATCTGTTTTGTTCCCAATGGAAATTACAGGTAAATCTAAAGAAGACAAAGGTCGTAGTTTTTAACATGAGTACTAACCAATTGTGATATACATGTAGAAGAAAAATCATGTAATCTATAAGGTAAAATATATAATATTTTGTATAGATACTATCATAGCTCATCTGATTTCTAAGTCAGCTGCAGTATGATGTATTATTTGCTAACACAAACAGTTCAATGCCAACACTTTCCAATCCTCTATCCAAAACAGTGAGTTGACTTTGCATAAATTTGCATGTGTGAAATGCTGGCCTTGTCAGTTATCACAACAATTGTTTTTTGAGCAATTACCTAACAGCATGTGTCCAGCTGCCTCCATATGCAGTCTGTTTTATTGTGTATCTATTGTCATCCCAGTACCCATTAGACTTTTCTCCAGGGAATATGAATCGGATTGTTTTCTCTCACCATACACAAAGTACTGTAGTGTTATGATATTTGATGTCAGCTTTGCATGTTTCAGTAAGAGTTGTTCATATTTTTTAATGGCTCAAATGAATGATACATTAATCTACATGATCTAATTTCTGTACTACCTACATAATTTTGTTGCAATTGAGAAGCCCTTTGAGAAGGAGATACAGCCTTTGTTATTGTTTGATTGCCAACTTTTCTGAAGTAGATTTGTAGCCGGGTTATTTAGGTCTTGTGTAAGGAAATGGCATTGCCGGACGATGCTGGAAACGTCTGTTTATCTTCGGAACCTGTGCTGACCCATTTGACCGATTATGAGTATAACAGCTAGTCAGCTACTGTACTGTATATTGTACATATTACTACTACTAATACTAGCACCACAACGATGTACCAAAATTGCAACTGAGAGGTACATGTAATGTGAATCACAATTTTTTCGTGGTACTTTGTTATTGCAGTTTTCGCAGTTACTTCTGTACCTCAAACTTATCATTACAAATAATTCACTGACTTTCTTTTTCCCTCTCCTGGCACCACTGTGAACATATAGTTCTGCAAACATGTGTGTTTCTCTCAGACCACAAAATTTTGCTGCTGCAAACATAAAGTGATTTACAGTGTCTCATTCAGTGTGGCGTTTTTGTGCCAAAACAAACAACGCCTCTGATTGAATTCTAAAGGGTGTAAATTGAATATGACAGGATTAGATGAAATTGCTATGATGGGCTAATGACCATATTACCAATATGCTGAAGTTTCAAGTTTGAAACACTAACCTTAGGCCACACCAATTTAATTTCTTGGTTAACGGATTTTTCAAGAAAAATAATGGAGCGGGCGGGCGAAAAAATAATAAAAATAAAAACAGGCCTAGGCATCCTATTATGGCCCAAAATGGTACGTTAGGAGCCACGAAGTCAACATACCAGGCTGGTTCAAAATTTAAGCAATGAATTTTGAACTTTTAATGATACCACTGCATTGAAAGATGGAATAACTTTAAGAACTAGGATGTAAAGGACTGTTTTCAACTGTTCAGGGCAAAATATGAGCATATGAGCAGTTGATTCTGAATTTTTATTTTTATTTGCAAATCAGAAAAAAATGAAGCGGCGAATCCGTTAACCAAGAAATTAAATTGGTGTGGCCTTATGTTAGTAATGCATTGTGGATTTACCCACTGCTGTAAGATTAGAAGGTTACTGATAATCTTGCTGGTTGTTTTTGGCACTGTGAGGAGGAATAGTTCTCTACTGGTGTAATAACACACAAATCAAGGCTGGGCATGACGCACGCAAACATTGCCTCTTGGTCACCTCTCTGGGTCACCTCGGCCAAATTTGTCATGAAATGTCAACAGGGAGTGGAAAGTTTGTAATCTGACACTCTATCTGTAATTAATGCCTCTTGCACACGTCATTGAGTGATAGTAATAAAAAGTAAAGAGATGAGGTATCAAAAGATGGATATTTGCTTAGTTTTTATGCAGCTCTTTTAGGATTTAGGTTCTCAGTTGCACTCTATCTGTATACATCTCTTGCGCACGTCATGATGAGTGAAATAAACAGAGATGAAATATACTATAAAAGTATGGGTACTATTTGTCTAGTCTTTGTGCAACTCTTTATAGGATAAACTATTTTGAAATATCTTTGCTGTACCAGTCCATTAAAAAGAGTAAAATTAGAAGGCCCTAACCCATTTCTCTATCTCTTTACACAGAGGAGGTTCTGAGTGGGAAGTCCATCCAGTTGACAGTAGAAGAGAACAAGGAGAATGCCCCGGCCACCTCCGCCCCACCCCAGGACAACCCCAGCCAGCCCCCCAAGGCACCCTCGTGTCCCGACCAGCCCAGAAAGCCGCGCTCCTCCAGCTGGGAGGAGGGGGAGGTCCCGGGGATGGTGTAGTCACAGCGCTGAGGGGTAGACACCGTGGGGGGAGGGGGGACTTGGAATGCCGCTTGTGTAAAACAGGTGCCAAGTAGAGCTGCCAAGCATTTCCAGGGACTGTTGCCAAAAAACATTGGTGCTGTCACAGGCATACATACAGAAAGTAGGGGACTTGTCAGGATGTCAACAACAAACCAACTTCAGGTCTTTTCTCCGGGTAGCATCATTGTACAGTTTGTGTATACATGTACCTCTACCAGGCAGATTGGAACAGGTCTGCACATTCATACCTTTTTTTAATGGGAGTAGAGAAATATTTTGGAGTACCAACCACCACCAAAGTATTTTGTAACATTTATCAAATGCTGCAACTCGTACATATCCTGTACCTCGGTTCATGTAGCACATGGCACATGTATGGCCTCCAGGGTCTAGCTCTGCAAAGCAGTTTACTTGAAAACAACTAGCTGGCTCTCTGAACATTTGTCATCCTGACAAATATATCTACTCAATCATACTGTAACAAAGAAAGGCATTGACCACAGTCCACAAGTTTATGTGTTGATGTCAGCAGGATCTAGAAGTGCTTCCTGTAGTTTAGGGAATACAAACACTGACTACTGTTCAGCCTATACAGTAACTAGATAAGTGGTAGTTCAGTTGATGTTTGTGAAGTTGAAGTTCTTGTTGTTTCACAGCACACTAATCATGAAGGAGAGAGAGTTTTTATAAGTCTATATGAGACAATGTGATTGATCATGATTCATGTAAGATTTGGGTAGTCGTGCTACAGAAAAGACTAGGCAAGAAATTCTCACCAGCTGGAACTGTAAGACAAGTAAGATTGTGTTAGAAAAGGCTTTCCTTCAGAGTGTCTTACATTTGAACTTGTATGAACAGAAGCAGGCTCTGTTTTCCTGCTATACAGTGCACTGAGACATGTTCTGTGTCCTGGATTCCATTATGCTTAAAGCCTATAAGAACTGTACTGTCCACATAGAAGAAACCTTGCAAACAGTGACCTTTTTTTTGAAGCCATGAGATGCATACTGATGATCTTTACTGATGATGTTTAAATCTAGGTTGTGAAAGAACCATTGTAAAATGTAGAAGATTAACTTGTGAGTCAATACTGTGACTGATAGACATCATTGAATAGATGTGTCAGTAACTGCTAGTCGATGTGTGAAACAAAGTCCATTAGCCTCTGACTTTCCACTGTTTTGTGTGCAAGACATGTTGCAGGGTATTTTTACCTCATGATGAGGAATGCCTTTTTAGAATACATATGGGTACATTTGTGTAAGCTTAGCACTATCTACAAACCTTGTGTATTATCTAAGGTCTGGTAATCAAAGATTATGATCGTGTCTCTGCTTCTTAGTACTAACTGTGCATTCCAGAGTGTCAAATGTGTCTTAAAGTGAAGATGTCAGAAATAAAACAGGACTATTATGTTATTTTGGAGTTAGTGAAGTTCTTTTGTAGTCACATCCATAATGGTAGATGACAGTTGTTTGGTAGATTTAATTATTACAAACAAATGTTTAGGGAAGCTGTCATGTCGCGTTAAAATCCACTGAAGCATGATGACAAAGTTATGTCTTACATTTTTCATTTAACATTGTCAAAGCTTAATATCTTAGCAATATGTGTTGTAGCTTAATGTAAAAGCATACAGTTTCAAAGCTTAACGTTGCAACATGTAAGTGTTTCATCTTAAAAAGATACTTTTGTTACACCAGTCCGTGAGTGATCTACATTGTTTTTAGCTTTTTACATAACTTGAGTAGGTCCAATTTTGTGAAGGTACGAAAAAAAATACAACCTACTTTTTTTAGCTTTCCTACTGTTCCTACCGTAGCGTCTGTTGTGCTTGTGCAAGGTTACAAAATATTGTAAATGACTTTATATTCGCAGCAGCAAAATTTCGTGGTCTGAGAAAAATGGACATGTTCTCGGAACTGTATGTTCGCGGTGGTGGCAGGAGCAAAAAAAAAAAAAGAAAGTCACCGAATTATTTGTTCCCGCTACAGAAGTGACCGAGAGAACCGCGAGTACTGCGAAAACAAAGTGATTCACAGTACACATCTCCTTTGGAAAGGGGTAATGCACTCTCCACCAGACTCCTTTTGCAGGCTGAATAAATCGTAGAAATCGGCCTAAAAGGGGATATAAACTTGGCCAGAGAAGGTAGCCGGTCAGAGAAGCTCCATTTGCCTGCAATTATATCCCTTTTTATGCCGATTTCTACGATTTATTCAGCCTGCAAAAGGAGTCTGGTGGAGACAATACTGCACTAACCACACGTCACTAGCTTCTGATTGGATTTCAGACGACAGTTTGCTCTTCTGTGCGTTCGTCGCCTTGTCGGTTGTCAGGCGGGTCTGCCACGTACACACCGACTTTACTTTCCTGGTGGAGCCGAAACCCTTCACATAGAAACAGTAGGAAAGATCCAACTTGCACCACAATTGCTACTGCATTCGCTATTCTTATGATATTGTACTGCTGCTGAAGGACACCCAAATAAGGTCTCAGGCAAGGTCTTGTCCAAACATTGCCGTCTGAAGTTCTGTGGCAGTCATTGCCACTGGTCGCCCTGCACTTGCAGGACTCTGGAAACGAGCTCGAGCCGTTTATATTTGAACCGTTGTCAGCTTTTAGGTTAATCCAGTCGGTGAAGTTCCAAATCCCACAACAGTCGGTCGAGGTTTGCAGCCGTGCCCACTCTGCGTCGGGAGCTCTGCTGACATTTCGTTTGACCGCTTGTAAAGTTCTGTTTAGTTCTATGCCCAGCTGTCCCGTTGGAATATTCTCGCGAACGGTACAGGTGGTGGCTACTGCAAATTCTAACATCACAATCACGACTAAAAAGATGCCAATTTCTCTCATCGTAACCCCTTGTCTAAACCATCGCAGGTCCCGATGCGCGTGTACTATTATAGCGGCAAGAATGACCGTCAAAGCACCGCCAACACAGGTTAGAACGGACTCAGTTTTAGCGCTGCGTCCAGGAGTCAGAATCTCCGTCCAGGACATGTGAAAAATCATCCAGGCTCCCGCTATAACCAGCGCCGCGCCAGGTAACAGCAGGAAGACGACGAAGGCAATCAGAACTATTTGAGCGTACCCTGTCCGTTCTTTCAACCGTTGTGTTTTATCCATCGTAGCGCGGTTTCTGCACTGTCGATATTGTGTGCAAATCACCCATACGTGCTGCGTTGTTCTTCGCCTTCAAATCTATGATCGCAGGGATCCGAACCGATCAGTCGATGTCTGAAATGAAAAAGGACAGGTAACTTCTTCAACAGTACATTTTGTATTTGATAGTTTGTTTGCACTCACGTGACCACGACGTATAGGTACAATGTCCTATATGTCTGACTCTTATTGGTTCAACCAACCAGCATGGCGGCTTTTTAACTGACTAATGCCCAACTTCCAAGTAGATTTTTCGCTGGCGAAATCGTTACGAGACTCACGACCTGGCAGTACGTGGATACTGCCTGCTGGTTAGTTACGATGTTGTCACCGCAAAATCTTAGATTAGCTTTGACGTCGCGTGCTAAAACTTTATTGCCTTCCCTCTGTTAAAAGCCCATAATAAATTACGATTGCTTCGCGACTGTCGACCCGTTTTGCTGACAGCCAACTTTCCCAGGGGCATTCAGCCAACACGTCCTTCCTTGGCGACCACTATTCAATAGATAGCTAAGACATTATCCAAACAGGTAGACACCTGTGATGTTCTATCCCCACAACCACACCCAGTAATCATCCTGTCTAAATCACTCAATGTATAGTATAGCTAACACTGAACCGTGTCTTGTTGCCAAGTAACGGCCTTTTCCCCCTTCTATTACCGCGTGCTCAAGTAGCGTATTAGGGTTACTGTGGTCACACAGAAGTAACAACAATACAGGGGTGTATATTTCATGTGGAGAATTTACTAGAACTGAACGAAAAAGCAGTCTTTTACCGCGTTGAAATATATCTGTAGGGCATGGTCCAATCAAGGAGGTTAAAAATCAAATATTAAACCTCCTTGGTTCAAAAGACATAAGGTACACTTGATCGCCGTTGTACTTGAATTTGCTAATTAGGAACCATAATAGATGCTAGAGTCGTTGGAAAAACGTATAACTCGTGACACCATTGTTGCTAGAGTCTGTCCCGTATGACGAATTGGTACGACGAAGGAAAATCCATCACGTACAAGTCTTACTCGTTAATAATTTAGGGCAGCTAGTATATTGTCCTTTGCGTCTCACGGAGACATACTGGTGAACAAAAGCAAACATGAGCTCTTTCTCAGTCCGCTGCTAAGTACATGTTTTATAATTTTGCGATACTGAATGGGCTGATAAGTTAAATACTAGTACTAAATCTAATTTATTTGGAGCGCGACCATACAATGCTTCTTTCCGATCCGAATACTAGACTAAGTTGTCCGTGTGACCATTTGTTCTACCTCCATGGTGTGCAAGATCGAAACTCATCAGACGTTTAAGAACATTGTATACTATACACTATGTCGTTAGACTGTACAAATTTTAACTTAACTTAACGTATAACATGTACCGTGTACTCATGTGACTCACCTGCACATACGACTACCGTATATACCTTGCCGACGCATAACGACCGTGGACTGCACTTACTAAATACAGCTTACAGTGGTGTTCTTCACGAAATTTAGGGATGCATTTCCGCCAAAAACGCTGTCTGCAAGCGGTGAAACCATTGTAGAACAGAGTGCTACATTGTAGTGGGTTACTAGTCGGGGATATAGGATAGGATAGGACAGGGTATATAGGCGACCGAACACGGAAATGCTACAACCAAACCGACAACAACACTGCATAACCTTTCACCCCTCTTTTGTTAGCCGGTTTCTTGACATGCGCATTTACCGTGCACCAGTGAGTGATCATTGATCCCACAATGTTTGACTTTTAATCCTTTCCAGTTTGCCACCTTGAACGACTGGGAAAGTTTTGGTATTAAAGGTCTAAGCTCGTGCGCCAAACGGTTATTCATACATCTTCTGCCCACTTAACGTTGGGAATACTTACCAGCCTTTCGATACAACAATGTTTAAGTGTAGTGGGAGATAATTCTAGTTTCTTTGAGACTCCATGGTAACACTAATCACATAAGTAACTTTTCTGCTTCGAAAATTTCTTCCGTGTAGAAAGTTCCATTGATCATATTAAGTTTTTTTTTTTCATTTGTATGTTTTCTTACTTTAAATTTAATATGTGGCCAGTTAGACCAAGGAGCTTCAAATTTGCATACTCTATAATAGGACTATGGAACACTGTGTGTTTAGTCATTTGTCCAACCTTCATGACCACGTAGATTTCATAGTGAAGGCAGCTGTTTTTGCCAAGCGTTCTTATTCGCACGCTCGCGTCAGTTTTGGGGTTCCCAGAGGATATAACCCATATAATCAAATGAATATCAAATGGGATTTCATGGAATTTAATTTAAATGGTATTTCAGGTACACGGACCAATAACAACATGATATATAACTTACATATAACGTTAATGTCACATGTAATCACACCATCATAATTCAAATGTTTTTATCCAAAAGTTACCAACTCATAATGTTCGCTGGCGCACATCATGCGTGACTTGCCCTGCAAAATGAGTTGGCAAAATGATGTCAATGTGTTTTCTGTAGTGCACCTGTGTTGATGTAATGAATATACCTGTGCAGAGTCACGTAGGCATATGCATGGTCAGGTCACAACTAGTTTGTGCACGTGACGTAACGGAACTTTCCACCAAGCAAAAGACTAGAGGGAAGTTTGGTAAAATAACATTACTGCAATCATTGCTAACGTATCAAAACATAAATCATTACTTTGCTTCCATACAACTTTCTACATATAGTATTGTTCTGATGATGAAATTTTCTCGCGCCAAATATATTTTGCAATTGCAATGAAACACTTATGTTGAGTGACATCCCCTAGTGGCATATGGTGTTGCCCAAGGTCATGGTGTGACGTCATCGTTTGAAGTGTGAAGCGGACGTGGGGACAACACACCTCACTACGTCTTACAACCACTGCCATTTCTGCTGTCTACGGGACCACTGCATAGCTTCAAAATGGGTAAGATACTTGGCTTGTGTCCAAAGTAAATGTTAAAACGTAACATACAATTGTAAGAAAGTAGAGAGAGGCCATATTGTTTAGAAACTCACAAAGTCCTACATTGTATAATGATGCAATGATGTCAGCAACTAGTTACTACATTCATGTAGTAAAAACTACGTCAGTTGCAAATTCGAGACTGCTTTTTTGTCTGAGCTCGTTCAGAAAATACATCGGTACAGACGGCACCTGAATCAATAAGCTTAAAACGTAAACAGTCTGGTGCAGTCCAGAAATCAAGTCCGGCAGGTCATTGAACTCACCTTCAGAAAAGTCAGGTCATTGAAC